ATCTTTCCTACTTATAAGTTTGATAGGTATGGTTTTTAACTATACGTGCGAGTATAAGAACTCAAAGTTGTCCTACGTTACTCTTCATACTATACTACTTTATATATTACTCCTGAATACGGAGATATCACATTAATCGAACCCCGTTGTACGGATTTAATTTTTAGTACTAATGAGCATAAGTGTAACCTTGTACGGATTCAGGTTTTTGTCCTAATAAACATATGTGATATCACCGCGGAGGTTCCAATGAGTGTATTCAGGGGCCTTGTATGCACATTACTCTGAACAGTTTATCTCTAGTTGCATGAAAAAAAACAATGTGCCAAACATTATATTCGTGTAACAGAGATGAATAGATGTTTACTAAATATTTTATCGTTATTGACCATACCGATACTAATACACTTTTCCATTTTGATCCTGATAAGAACCAATCATATTATTCGTTGTATACAGTATGTTAAAAATGTATGAGCATACGTACGTACATACTCTATCAGTTATAAATTTGATATCTTAATCCTTTTGCTTTATTATAATTATCGTAAAATAATGAGTATATATAATGATCTTAGCAGGGAACTTTCTAAATACAATCAATACGAATATTCTAGTTTCAAAAATGTAGAATTTATTGGACAAGGTGGTTTTCGAAAGGTATATGGTGCTGTCCATAATGATATTACAGTCGCATTAAAATCTTTCAACTATCATGATGCAGCGATAAAGGAAATTGTTAGAGAGGTAATTGTTTATTTTTTTAACGATAATTTACTATTATCCATTAATATCCATTAATATTAATAGATTAAATTGCAACATCGAGGTACAATTCACCCTAATATAATAAAATTTTATGGTATCACCACAAAACAAGGTAAGAACACATACATATATATATCTTTATTAACTTAATATGAATCGATATTAAAATACAATAATATTGCAATAATTTTTTGATAGATGAAAATGATCCAAATTTTATACAATATATATTAGTTCTCGAATATGCAGATAGTGGAGCTTTAAGATCATTTTTACGTAAAAATTTTTCTTCTCTCACTTTTAATGATAAATTTAATTTAGCACTTCAGCTTGCAAGTGCTGTAGCCTATTTACATTCAGAAGAAATACTTCATTGTGATTTGGTGAATATATAATAATCAGATTTTTTAACCAAATAGCATATAATAAGATGTATGATATTAATATAGTAAAAATTATGAAATTATATAGCATTCAAATAATATATTGATCCATCAGAAAACGATAAAGCTTGCAGATTTTGGATTTTCCAGAAGATTAGCTGAGGCAACAAATTCAAAAACCGATATAGAGGAATTTTGGTTTATATGGATCCGAGAGTTTTTAAATTTAGGAATAGAAAAAAATTCAAATTTGATAAAAAATATGATATATATAGTATTGGTATTCTTATGTGGGAAATTTCAAGTGGTCACCCACCTTTCGAAAATGTTGAAGTTAGTGTAATGTTTTTATTAGATAAAGGTCGAGAGAAGACGTTATTGGTGTGCCATCTGAATATACAAAGATTTATAAAAGTATGTTTATTTCTTAAATACCATACATATCACTATTTAAACAATTAAATCTTATCTATCAACTCATGTTTTCTAATATAATCGTTAGGTTGTTGGGACGATGAAATTGAAAAAAGATCTGATATTCAAGAAGTTGTTCAAAGTTTAAAAACTTTAATATCATTAATTTCACCAACATCGCCAATTTCACCAATTTCACCAATTTCACAAAACGATGAAAAAAGATTAAACCAACTTTTTCGTAGGCATACTTCTGAAGTTCTTAATAAAAATATTGAAGAATCTGAAAATCCATTCAAAAAAATGGCAATTAATTTTGATATTGAACATCCACAAGTCGATAAAGATTATAATCAATCAGAAGTTGTTGAACAAGACGATAAAGATAATGATCAATCAGAAGTTGTTGAAATAATTGAATTATTGAAATCTAAACCAAATGACCCATTTGCATTAAGGTTTAAGGGCGAAAATTATTTAATAATTGATAGATATGATGAAGCGATTAAATATTTAAGCAAATCATTAAAAATTGAACCAACCAATATTACAGCATTAATAAATCGTGGAGAAGCATATCGTATGACAAATAAATTTGAAGAAGCTCTTATAGATTTTAATATTTCTTTAAATTTGGATCCAAATAATGCTTGCGCACTTGGTGGCAGAGGGGCAAATTATTATTTAATGAATAAATATAATGATGCACTTAATGATTTATCTAAATCATTAGAAATCAATTCAAACGATTCGATCATTTTAAAATTTCGTGGCTCAACATATTATAAAATGGGTAGATATGAAGAAGCAATTAAGGATTTTAATAGCTCTTTAAGTATTGATCCTAATGATGAATATTCATTGAATTGTATGGGTGTAATTTATCGTAAAATAGAAAAATTTAATGATGCACTTGAATGTTTTAATAAATCATTAGAAATTGAACCAAATGACGCGTGGAAATTAAGAAACCGCGAAGCTACATACCGTATAATCGGTAAATATAAAGATGCCCTTGAAGATTTAAATAAATCCTTAGAAAGTGATCCAGATAATTCATTTGCTCTGGAGAATCGTAGTGAAGTTTATCGTAGGATGGGTAAATATGACGATGCAATCGTAGATTTAAATAAAATTTTAAAATTCAATCCAAGTAATATTAATGGTTTAAAAATTCGTGTAAAAACTTTTCAAATGATTGGTAAAAATAATGAAGCACTTGAAGATTTAAATAATTCATTAAAACTTGATCAAAATGATCTGTTTTCGTTGAAAAGTCGCGGAGAAACTTATTATTTGATGGATAAATTTAAAGAAGCCCTTGAAGATTTAAATACTACATTGTTAATTAAACCAAATGACGTTATTGCGCTAAGAATCAGAGGAAAAATTTATCAAAAAATGAGAAAGCATGAGAAAGCACTAATGGATTTAAGCAAATCATTGATAATAGAACCTGATAACGCATTGCTATTGAGAAATCATGGTGCTGTTTATCATGAAATGGGCGAATACAATAAAGCACTTGAAGATTTAACCAGATCATTAAAAATTCTACCAAATAATCAATTCGCGTTGAAAAATCGTAGAGAAACCTATCGTATGATGTGCAGATATAAAGAAGCACTAAAGGACTTTCATAATTGGTACCGAATGATGCGTATGCGTTAAGTAGTAGAGGTGCAATTTATCATTCGATAGGAAATTATAAGGAAGCGATTAAAAATTTAAATAAATCATTATTGATTGAACAAAATAATGAATTTACGATTGGATTATGTGGTGATACATTTAGAATGATGAATAAATATGACGACGCGCTCTTAAGTTTAAATAAATTGTTAGGAACAAAGCCAGATAATACATTTGCATTGGGAAGACGAGGAGCAACTTATCGCATGATGGGAAAATATCAAGAAGCGATTGCAGACTTAAATGAAGTATTAGAAATAGATCCGAATAATAGATTTGCGACAATTAATTGTTTAATAGCTCATAAAATGAATGCAATTAAATTGACCCCCAATGATCTAAACGTACCATTTGAAATTGAATCAAAAGTATTGAAATTGATAGAACCTGGCAAAATTTATGAAATTCCTAATAGTGATAATATATTGTGTTATTTTCCAGGAAGGGATGGAATTATTGGTATAGATGGTAGACCAGGTGGCAATGCAAGTTTGCCTACTCCTGGCGAAAACGGGAAAGTTGTAGAATTTAAATTAAGCCCCTCAGCAAAACCCGGGCATTTATTTATTAATGAAACGGAATGTTATCTTGGAAAAAGCGGGATGATAAATTTTTATGCAAAAGGTGGGCTGGGCGGCAATGGTGTAAGTTTTGGTTATTATGAATCAGTATTTTATTTTTATCAGTTAAACAAAAAATCAATATGTATTTAGGCCAATGGTGGGCGAGGTATTGATGGCAAAGATGGAAGTGATGGACATAGAACGAACAACTCTCAGGCAACTGATGGTAGGCAAAATTAAGTCTGTAAATTACATCAAGGTTATAACTAATAACGTTACTAATTTTAAACCAAATATTAGGAGAGAATGGAGGAGATGGCGGGAATGGTGGGAATGGCAGCAGTGGAGCTGATGGTGGGAATGGAGGCAAAATTACGATCATAACGTCGAAAGAATATGTATATTTGTTCTTGTTTGTCGGTCAATATAATGTAGAAGGTGGATCAGGAGGTGTTCCTGGAATAAATGGTGAAGGTGGTAAAGGGGGTAAAGGTGGTAAAAGAGGAGGACGTAACCTCTGGATGGAGTTGGACGGAAGGCCCAGATACTCATCTACTGGATTTGATGGCTTGGATGGTAAAGATGGCTTACCTGGAACTGCACATTTAACTTATGGAAATGATGGCTCCAAAGGTAAATTCGACTATTGCATACATAATGGCAACTCTAGAAAATTATACCAAGGGGTGTTCGTTTTAAATATTATTGGATTTAAAAAAGAAGCACAAAATTTTAGTGGGATATTTGAACCAGGAAGTAAGATGATTATTCATAGTATGGAATTTCACAACAGTGGAAAAATGCCTACGCCCATAAATGGCATTATTATTTTAATTCAAAAATCAGAAATAATTGTTAATAGTCCAAGTATTAAGGTGCCTGATTAATTCAAGAAAATCAATCAGAAATTTCAGACGATAACATGGAGATAAAACTTAAAGATATAGATGAAATAATTGATGATGAACCACCTGAAAAGATTTATTCAACTTAACGTCGTAGATGAACAGCAATTAGTAGTTAGATATCCAGTTAAAATTAGCGAAATCTTTGCACTACGTAACCCAGGTGATTCAAATATTTACGATCTATTTTGGTTTGTAATAAATATAGGAAATTCTGATCTAGGAGAACAATCAGAATGCAATAGAATGATCAGAATGATATTGTATAAGGATGAGGAATTATTGACATCTTTTGATGTTCACCTATTGCGCTCGGGTGAGAAGAGACAAATGAATAGTAGAGTTAGTCTCGAAGAAAATAAGCATGAAAGGTTTTTAATTATCTTACAAATAGGTAAAATGGATCAACCATATTCTCTAAAATCAATTCAAAGACGAAGTTTTCAAATAAACCCTGAAAAAAGTTCTAAACATGATTTAATTTTTGACAAGAATCATGCAAGTACAAACAGAGAGTCCACAAATGTTGATAAGTTGGTATTGTTAAATGTTATATTGTCAAACCATGTCGATTCAAAAAATGTACTAATTGAAGGAACTATGAGAATTGACGATTTCATTATCGTGTTAAATCTTAAATTTTGTATTCCAACCGATGGGTATATTTACATAATGTCAAAGCACGGAGATATAACAATTACAGTAAGTGAAAATGAGAGATATTTGCTACTTTTACTGGCAAGGACGGAAGACAAATCTTTAGTTTGGAAATATAATGAAATTAATGAAAAACATAATAGAATAGATAAATTTAATCAAATTTATAGATTAGAACTTGATACTTTTGAATTTTATAAGATTGAACCTATGGATTCTAGTGAAGTTTACGAACCCGGTTCGCGCGTAGTCATTCGTAAAATCAAGATAAAAAATACTGGTGGAATGTCCATCCCTGACAATTACGATATTCGAATTTCTATTTTGGATACAACTGGAATAACACCTGTTTTTAATCGTACCTTGGTTTTGCCGCGAGCAATTAAAGCTCATAATAGAGCAACATTAGATTTTAAGGGCAAAGACTCAGTTGGTTTTGAAATTGATAAACAAAATCAACTCGCCTATAATTCTTCATTTCAAGTAGAGTATATTATCAATTTGAAAGCTGTCATGTGTGGAATAGAACGTCAGATAACTTCATTCACACTACCGAAAAAGCTTGTGGTTAGGTTTCCTGTTCAAATATGTTCCAAAGTTGGTATCAGATGTATTCCAAATAAAGATTTGACAACAATTGGATTGAGACTGGATAATATTAGCAAAATTTCATTGGGATCAAATTCAGTCTCGAAACGAGCTTTAAAAGTCAAATTTACTCTTGAAAAAACAAATCCTCCTAATAGTTTAGCTTTTAAGGGAGGTAATAATTCAGAAAATACGTCATTAATAATGGATGCTCCACATTTGGAAGCCAATAAATCATTGACCATGTATTGCAATTTGATTGCAACCAACGGCTTTAACAATAATCCTCTGACAACTATTAAAGCCAATCTTTCAGCCACACTTCAACTTGGTACCATTATCGATCCAGATAATATTCATAATATTGAAGCCAAAATACTCCAATTATTATCACACAAAAATATGAAAATTATCTAAGTAGAAATGCAGACTTTATTATTGTGACAAATAGAGCTACTACAGAGGATGAATATTTTGCTTGGAACGAAATAAGCAAATACTCTGGATTAACATTGGCAGTGTGGGATATTCAAGAGAAGGACATTTTGATTTATTTACAAATTCAGAGACTGCTGATAGTTTGGCCAATATTCTATGTGGAAAAACTATTGTTATTCTCAATAATCAATTTGAAGATTTAGAAAGTGTTTTAAGAATGACCGAAGGAATAAAAACTTATAGCCAAGCATTGGATTTCATTGAACCAAATCATATTCATGAAGCCGCTTGTAATTATGGCATTAAATTCTTTATTATCGGACCAGTTATTTGTCAAAATAAGTTGGAAAAGTTGATAATTCCATTAATTCCAAAAGATGAAGTTTTTCCAAGCATTATAACAATTGAAAAATATTTCAAACTTAAGAAAGAAATAATCGAAAATGGAAATGAAGATAATGATTTATTAAGGGATAAACCACGTCATGAACAAATCCAATGTATTAGTTCTCATTTACGTGAAAATAAATCAAATATCAATAATTATTTGCAATCAAAAAAAGAAAAAATAAACACAACTTTACAAACTATACAGACTTTTTACTCTAACCAACATCAAATCTCTATTCCTATTCAAAATAACTCTGCTAATGACACCGAATCAAACGATTCTAATTGTTTACAATCCAAAAAAGAAAAATTAAGCATAAATTTACAATCTCTTTACCCTAACCAACGCCATATAGTTATACCTGTCTTTGGTCACTCGTATGATGATGACAAAATCATTTTCTGCAGAACTTACGATAGAACTCAAAGGCATTTAGTGTATCTAAACGTCAAAGGTGATAAAATTCATAGAAAAGAACAGATTATTAACAGGATTAATATCGTTGGATTTTTATCGTGCATATCATTTACTAAACGACTCGAAAAATTAAGGTCATTAATACTTACATCAGTTAAAAAAGAGTCTTTAGATAAGGAGATTTTAATTTTATTAAAGGAATTGGTAGAAGTTGACTTGTCAATTGAATTTGTAAGTTTATGCGGAACATGTGAAATATTGAATAAAAATTCCGAGGGACAATTTTCTAAAATTTTGATTAAATTTAAATTTTGTGAATTTGCAGTAAACGTTGTAGCTAAAATAAGATTATTGGATAACGTTCACGCAAGTTGGATATTTCAAGTCATGGCAAAATTGAAAGTGTTACTTGAATTTGATGAAATGCCTAAACCTTATAAGAATAAACGAATTGACAAATTGCAAAGAATTATACAATCTGAGTATCAAAAGATTTTTAACACGATCACTATGAATACTCGAGAAGTTAGCCTGTCAATTCAAGATGAAAAATTTAATATCGAATATGAATCGATAAAAAGGCAATGGAATAAGGAATGGATGGAATCGAAAAGCTCAAAAAATATTTACCTTCGCTAAAACATTCGACTCGAAAATTAAAATTCGCCGGAAATTTAATGATGAAAAGTTTCCATGATCTCTCAGAATTAATAAACGCATGGAATTATTTTTCAAATGAAGAAGTTTATTTTACTGAAAAGAAATATAAGGAACTCATGGAAAATCATGAAAATTTATTTTTTACTATTAGTAAAAAAACAGCTACTTTTCTAGAATTCATAAATAATCAAAGACTGTCTTAATGTAATTTTCAATATTATATATATGGCTTTTATTATATAAATGTATTATTAAAGGCCATTTGTTTTAAATTTAATTGCTTTAATAGAGATGAGAAATTATTACATATTCAATTATTTAGGCAATATAATGCAACTATTATTATTAATACTATTAGTATATAATTTGTTTTTATTTGTAAGTTTTTCAATTTTTTTTGAACATATCTTTTAATTTTAAATTCTAATTTTATTGTTTTATTTTATAATTTATCTATATTATAAATAGTGACATTAGTAAAAAAAACAAACAAACATCTATATTTTATTTAATAATAACCTAGCTTTGAAGATTTAGTTTTATTATAAATATTTAAGTTTATAAAAATTTTGTAAGAGAATCAATTGTTTTGCTATTTATATAATCAGATTTCTAAAAGATAAATAGTGACATTAGTAAAAAAAACTACAAAAGTATGTAGTGATATTAAAGATATAAATAAACCTTATTTATTAATTTTAATTATGTGATTCACATATTAGTATTGTATAATTGTTTGCACAACCCTGCAGAAGTTGTTTTTTTTTTGGGCCTTGAAGGCCTTTTAATAACAGAAAAACTAACTCTATTAGTTAAAATTTTATCAGTAAATGAAATTAAAAAAATTACTTTTATTAGATAATTGTTATTATGTGAATTAGTAATAATATTTTTATTTTAAATATGATTAATCATTAATAAAAACATGTAAAAAAGAGATTTATCAAAAGCAAAAATGTATATATTATATAAATATAGAGCTTACTATAATTATTAATGAATTGAAAAATGTAGTTGCTTTTTTATTGTAAAAAATATAGTTTATTAATTACAAGTTATTAATAAAATGAAAACTACTAACTTTTAAACTTTGCTAATTCTATAGAGCCTGTTAATAGAATAAAGATTATTTGTTACAAAATTTAATAAAAGCTCTATTTAAGAAGTTACAAAACTTTGATTCTTTGTTATAGAGTATTTGACATTAAAATACTAATCTCAATATATAATGTTTTATATGCTAATAGGATTTTTTAGTAATCTACCCAGATACAGTATTGAATTATTGTTCTATAACAACATTATGATAAAAAAAACACTCACTTTGTTCTTTTAGCTGTATCATAATTTTTTTGGGTATTTTATAACTATGCTCATTAGATTATTTGCATTATATTACTTGTATTCTATTACTATAATAGATATACTCATCTAGCTTTGAATTTATTATATTAGTTTTAGAAATCTTTGAAGATATTTTTACATTCATATAAAATAGACTAATTTCAAAGTTATAATTTATAAACATGAAGAAAATCTAGATCAGATTAACTCATTATTAATAACATTTATTAATAAATATTTTAATTAGAATTCTATTTATTTTATTCTATATATTGTTTTATTAATCTATATAATTGTAGATATATATTTGGTTTTAATATATTTATTTATTTAGATAGTATATAATTACAAATTAATAATAAAAAAAATTAAATAAATAAAAAATAAATAAAAATAAATTAAAATAAATTAAAAATAAACTTTTTTTTATATGCAAAAAAATTCTCTTTTGTTTTATTTACAATTAAAATTTTATATTGCTAATATTGAAGATTATATTAGATGCTAGCTATTCAAGATTATTTTTATTAAATTACAAGAAAATCATATTATCTACAGTATTACTATATTTATTTAATTGTATTAATTTTATATAATATCACATATTATATAGTCAACAAATATTATAATAAAAATAAACCAAATAAAATATAAAATCTAAAAATAATAAAAATTAGAAATATAAAACAAACAATTATATACAAAGATTATAAAATTTGTATTTATATATACTATTTAAATATATAAATATAATTTTTTACTTTTTGCAACTTAACTACAATTTATATATATTTTTTAAATAAAATTTTGAAATATTATTTTATCAGTCTATAGATATTAGATAAAATATATTTATTGTTTTTAGTTTATAGATATAACTATTATTTTAAATTTTTTTTTAATATTAAGATAATCTTCTTGGCTATATCTTTTTATTAGAAGGTTTATTTCAGATATAATAAGAGTATATTAAGTTATATACATATTTGGTATCTAATTTAAGTAGTCTGCATCTAAGCCACTTTATTTAAATTTCTACACTATCTGCTATATCTATATTCCAATTATAAAGGTGTCTATTTTAATCCTCTAATATAATTTAATTTTGCTATATGAGACTTTTAACCTTTGGCTATTATCTAATAGCTCAGTTAGATTTTAATTATATATTAAAAAAGAACTAATAGTTCTTATTTATCCTCAAGATAAGCTTGCCAAAGTGTTTTTTTCTACTTAGAGTATACATCTAAACTTTAGCAACTTATACTATAGCTTAACTTATAATCTTCAAAGCTAAGTTTACTAGCTTTTACTATTATCTATTAAGATTTACAGACTCTAGTATTCATATTCTTTTACTTTCACATTTTATAATCTTGCAATAACCCAGTAAAATTATTTGTAAGACTCAAGTTTTCCAGACTTAAGTTTTTTATTCTTCTAATTTTTGGTATATCTTTTTATTATATATAATTTTTTTTCAAATTTTAACTAAGAATCTTTTACTAGTTATCTTGTTAACAAATCAACTAATAAATATACAAACTAGTATAACTTAAAGTAATCTGATAGCTAGATTAATAAATTCATTTGCTTAAAAATCTTTGTTATCTAGATTTTCTAATTTTGAAGAAATTTGCTCTGTTCTGTAGTACTATCAAAAATCTACTAATTCTTACTTAGGATTTGCCAAGCTAGTTCTGAATCTTTAAGTTCTTATTTAGTTTTATATATTTTCAAAAGCTTTATTATAGGTTTGTACTATCTATGCTAATTTGCATTTTTCTGTATAACTCAAGTGCTATACAGATGCTTGCAGAATCTTTTAGTATACAAGATATACTAGTGTAACTGAAGTTACCAACTCTAGAATCTAATTTATCAATAAAAAATTTAGTACTACAATACAAGTAGTAAGTTTAAATTATTATTAATAGGATTCAAATTTAATACTTTAGTTATAAGCTAGCTTGGAGATACAACAACTCAATCTTTATATTATTTGTTATTATATTTTATTTATTTAAAGATAGAGTATAACTATTTTCAAATTTATATAAAATAGATTGTAGATTAATATTATATATAGTATAATATAGTATTATATAATATACATGTAAATATCATATAATTTAACTAATTATAATTATTAATTCTTTGTATAACCAGGGAAATATAAGTATTCAAAAAAATTTTTAGTTATATGTAAAATTATTATTTTTTAAAACAATATATATTGTACAACTTTATTATTATAAACAAACTATTTTAAACTACATATTGTATAAATTTAATACATACAAATTTTTTAAGATATTAAAAGTTTTATTAGAAGCATATTTTTGTTTACTATGTAAAAATTTAATATATCATATAGATTATATAAAATTAATCTATATACACTCTACTTTTAAATAAAATTTTAAATTTTAATATATTACACTTTATTTATCTGTAAATATTAGACAGATATTAAATAGATTTTATTAAATTATACAATTATCTTATATTTAATTTTGAATTATTATTATTTACACCACTGGTTAAAAATAACCACTCCTATTAAAACTTAGGGTTAGGGTGCAGCTCTAAGATAAATAGGAGTTTTTTATATAAAATGTTTTTTATATAATATGATATCTATTGGATATAAGACCCCGATCTTAGTTTTTGTGAGGTTTTTGGGGGTCTTGAACATTTTTACTTAGAGTATCTGATCCCGTTTACTTAGTATATTATTGAGATACTGGTTATCCTTAACTACTGGCACAAGTTAAAAATGTCCTTTAATCTTATAATATTTGTTTTTATATATACTATATTTATATTAATCTATTATAGTTTTGCTAAATTACACTACTGGTATTCAATACTATAATGATTTTTACCAATTAAATTATGTAACTATTGTATTATATTAAGATTGGATGTAATATAAAATTTTTAATTTTTAGTTTTTTTTAAAAAAATACTAATAACTCAAAATTATATAATAAAAATTATCTTTTGGCTTCTAATAAAAAAAATTTTTTGCAAAATTTTACTATATATTGTATTTAACTCTAACCTCTTAGTCTATCTCTAACTACTAATACTAGTATAATTAAATAATATAATATATATTATTTTTTTATATTTTACTTTTAATTCTCTTCTAATATTTTTACTATATTTATTTTTTTTACTTCACTCTTAAAAGTTTTATATTTATATTTCTAATTCAATTTTTAAACTTATTTAAAATTTTCTTTTCAACACCTTTTACTAATTGTTTATAATAAAGTTGTAGGCTCTAATTTCTATATACTGGTATTGTAATATAAAATTACTTTCTTCATGCCTCAAATATTAAAATATCAAAAAAGTAATTTTGCATTTTCTGTCTGTTTAATCATATGATAAAATATAGTAATATTTACTATTATTTTTAAAATTTAAAGTTTTCTAAAAAAAACTTTTTTTTTACTAAACAAATCTTCTTTTAATATCTAAATAAGGTTGTAAAAGGGTAACTTGCAATTAAAATAGTGCTTAAAATATTATATTGTGAGTTATAAGTATTTTATTTTATTTTTTTTGTATTAAGGTGATCTAATTGGCCTGGGGACTTTTTATTAGAGTATAGACAATGTTTTAATGTAATTACAACGATAGTATATCAAGCTACATGTGCACTTTTGGTGCTAATTTAAGTGGTCCGCCTAAAATGTTAGTGCTATGCTAAGGGTTCTACACTATCTGCTATACCTGCACCCAACTATGGGGTACCCATTTAAACCATCTGGTTCTAGCTACCATCATCAGCCCTCTAACCCTGGGTATTACTCACCATTCATACGTGGATTTTGCATCTACCCATATTGGATTTTGCACTCTACCTTAGGACTTACTAACATTAAGCTAGTCTATCCTTGAGGTAAATCTAACAGAGTAGTATATGTTCCACACATGTATTCACCTGCATGTTTTTATAACTTCTTCCTAATTAGTACATATTGACCTGCCATTCTGTATGCGTATCTTACACCACTTTTTGGGGTGCTGCTATTCTACAGATGTTTCTTAAGCACCAACCTTCCTAATCAGGCACTTATTACGTACTCCTTGCCCTTATTCGGTTCACAACAACCCTGGTACCCATATTTGGACTGTCTCCTTACCCGGATTCTTTATCAGTCCCTCCCTTACTTCCAGCTGGCAACCCTTCTCTTGATTTATACTTTCAGATCGTATATCCTTTTCCTCTGGTGCGTTGGCCTGGTGGTTCAGCTAGTGTGTCCCCACTTAAGAACCTGATTGCTCAGTTCTCCGATCTCAGGCCTCGTTCGAATTCAGCCCTTCTGTGCTACTGTCAAAAATCACTGCTACCTCAAATTCAGGACTTGCCAAATGGGTTTTCGGTTATACCGGTTCCTCGGGTTTATTGCACCAAAGCTTCCATTACTAAATAGTGTAACTGAAGTTACAGATTAGATCCAACCAATAAGAATTAGCCATCAACCAAAACACAGACCTATTTTTTAAATATCGTCGTCTGTGGGATTCGAACTTTAGACCTGCCACTTGGATAGCGTGATGACTAGACCACAACACTAAGTCACCACACCTCATTATAAGTATTTTAGTTTTCACAACTATATGTCTTTTTTATATAAATAAAAAAGAAAATACATAGTTGCAAAAAACTAAAATGCTTATATCTCACAATTTACTAAGTTGAATTTAATATTTTAACTGATATTTTTATCACAAATCACTTTTCTACAACTTTATTTTGAAGTTGAAAAGAGGTTTACTTACTAAATATTTAAAAATAAATTTATTTTGTTGATATTTAGTATAGATGGGAAATATAAAATTATTATAAATTTATAAATTATTTGAGCTAATTTAAACAAATTTATAAATAGTAGAGTTAGATAAGAATTATAGTTTAAATTAGAGTTAGGTTAGAGTTAGGGTTAGAGTTTTTTATATTATAATCTTATAATATTTTTTTATCACCTTTCTATACAAAATAAGATCTAATATTTTTATAATTTTATTAATAATTAAAAAATATTATAATTTTATTAATAAAATTAAAAATATTATAATTTTATTAATAAAATTAAAAAATATTATAATTTTATTACTGTAACAAATTTTTTCACCAAACAGAAACAAAAATTTTGTTGGAAAAGGAAGGCATTATGTGGTGGTTTTTGTAAAGGTCAATTTTTCTATTTGGAGGACTTCTTTATATATTCAGCATACCAAAAGCATTAGTATCAAGATAATAGGCTAATAGATGCCTTTGTATACAAAAGTTTGAAGAGTTTGGTGTTCTGACAGAAGTGAGGCCATATCGTCGATGAAGTCAAACATAGATAATATAATAGAAAGGGAACAACAAATGAGTTTCTTAAGTCACTTCTTGAAAAAATTGAAAGTACTTACAAATATATACTTTCTATTATATTTTTGCTATTTTGGAGCTTTTTAGAAATTTTGGCTAAAAAGTAGGAAAACCAGCATATCTCTTCAAAACATTAGCAGTGTTTACTTCTTCCAAATTAGGATGTATTTACTAAAATAAAACCTGCCATGTGCTGACTTGGATATTGCTTCTCAATTAAGTGATGACGAACTATAAAAGATTAGAGATTCATGTGTAGAAACTTCTAGATGTTCAGCAATTTTTATCTTTTCTTTTCTTCTTATTACTCTTTATAATCACACTTTTGGAACTATAAAAACTTTTTTAAAAAATGTTCTTGTAAAGAGGTGTGCTTATATAGAGATTTTTTGTTATATATTAAATAGTAATTGGGTGAAAATATAGGTGTGATTATAAAGAGGATTTATATAATGTGATTATATAGGAGTGATTATAAAGAGGTATGACTGTATATATAATGTTAGAGTAGGATTTTTCTTTCTATACAACCTATATAATTTATGTAGCCTAGCATAGGCAAAAATAGTATTGTCATAGCTGTCTTCTTTGCGACCTTTTTCTTTTTTTCTCTATTTTTCTTTGGTGTATTATTTTTTTATTTAGTTTAGATTTTTCCTCTTTTTAGTTTTTTCTTTAAATTTATAAATTTCTTGTTGTTCTTGTAGTAGAGTTCTTCTACCTAAGAGGCTAGAAGAAGAAGGTTGGGAAGGAAGGCAGTTATGATGGGCCAGTAAACCAGGATAGTAATCCGGATGGGCTTTCTAAGATAGATTGATCCAAACTAGAGATGCTAAGTTAATATTTAGTTATGCAAAGTAACCAAATGAGCTACATTTCAGATTTTTTGCCCTTGAGGCATAGTGTAACTCTAATTTTAGAATTAGTAAACTTCATTAATAAAGCAGGACATGTGACATGGCTATTAAAAAAAATAAAAATAAAAATTATAATTTTATTAATAAAATCATAAATATTATAATTTTATTAATAAAATTATAAAATATTATAATTTTATTAATAAAATTATAAAATATTATAATTCTCAAAATATTACTAATTAATCGTATCTTCAGTATTAATGATTTTAAAGCAATATAGTATTTAAAGAGGCTATACAAACATTAACAGCTCTAAAAATCTTTAATGAGTTGAATTGGTCTACAAAACACTTTGTCATAATGTCAGGTTTTCATATGATATTTCAATTAAGTATTTTCTTATTTAATCAATTGAACATTATCAATCAATATACATATTAATTAATATCTTATTTTAATTTTTATTCATATGATTTAAGGTTCTCTCAAGCACCTAAATTATAGTTGAAACTCAATTCTTAATTAGTTGAAAGCAATTTAACCAGTGTAACGATTAAGAATGGATCAATGATGCATTAGGCGCAAATGGTGGATCGATTGCATAATTATTTATATTGCATAATTAGTCTATATAGCAGATTTGGCGAAAATAGCATATCAAGTAGATTTAGCATAAATAGCAGATTTGACCGAAATAGCATAACTAGCACATATAGCATATATAGAATAGTTAGTATAATTAGCGAATATAGCATATTATGTAGATATGTAATTAGTATATAAGTGTGAGCATTTATTAAGTTGTAAGGTGTCTCACAAACATCATAATTAATAAACTATCTATTTGGATCCGCCAAATCGAACAACCTCTTTCGAGACATTACAGTATTCTCGTTGAACGTTACGCAAACCCATTCCCGGTTTACCCTAACGAGTAGGGATTTTAAGGCGTGCATTTTTCCCGCTTAACATTTGGTGGATTACTGTGAGATACGCCCGTACACCCCCCGATATAAAGAAAATTAAGAAGGCACGAATATTAGGGAAAGATATTAGGAAATAAGAAGTAAACTACGGAACAATAAACGTATATACTCTAAAGATACGAGTAAACTAAGGACATTGAGAAGACTAAACGGCTAAAGACAAGCAAAAGTCGGAGTTACAAGGAAAGACCAAAGCCGGAACGACAAAAGCAATCGTAAAAGTCGAAGCTTAAGAAGAAAAAGCCGAGACAATTAGTTAGATAAAGTTTAAGGACGAAGCACCAAAAGATTTTAAAACAAGAATAGTATTTGAAAATACTTCCCTGACGTAATAACCGGATACAAAAAAAAAAAAAAAAAAAAAAAGCAGCGACAAACTTTGGAAGTAACAGAAATAAACTTCAAGGATCTACAAGCAAACTACAAGGCATTGAGTAATCGTGACAAAATCTGTTATAAAGATCGGCATCAGTACAATAGAACAATAGAGAAAGTGACGAAGTCTGTCATAAGGATCGACACTTTAAACAACAGAACAATAGAACACATACGTAATAAGCCGGAAAAACTGTGACAGACTTTTCCTTTCTTATTAAAAAAAAAAAAAAAAAATCCAGTATAAAGATCCAACGAAAAAGAGATCTTTTTCGTCTCCCTCTTAATTTTTTTTAGAAAAACACACTTATTACTAAAAACTTTTCCTTACATAGTCATAAACACAACGCGAGATTTGCGAACTGCTAAAAACCCTTAATCAATAAACTTTTAGCCCCAAAAGAGCAAAAGTTTGTGATGAAGAAATTTTTTTTTTTCTTACGTAACTCTCAAAGTGAGCGAACAAAAGAACCCCACGACTACCAAGGGCACAAAAAGCACCTTCGGTCTTGGATTACAAGGATCTAAACGACCACCTTCACCACCAAAACTCATTGAAGTAGAACCAAGTCCTACAACGGCAAAAGCACCTGGAAAAAAGGAAGAAAGAATGGATTCGGCACAACTACAACTATTATTGGACAAATTTACCCAGTCATTTGAAGACGCAACAAAAAGGATCCTCATAGCCAATAAACCGGAAAAAAAGAGATGAATCTCATTATAATTAGGAAGTTCCATGGAAGAGAAGACGAAGACCCCATCGAATGGCTCAAAGCATTCGAACAAGCAGCAGAAACAAATAATTGGAACAAAGAAAGAAGAATAACAATTGCCGCCGGGTACCTAAGTGACTTAGCAGCTGACTGGTACTGTGAAAATAAGACAAATATTAAACACTGGAACGAAAAAAAATAATCCAGACGAAAGTTTTTTCCACTTACTTTCAACATTTTTTGCAACACCTGACCGACACCACCGTTGGCAGATAGAATTAAATGCTCTAACACAAAAGCCAGGTAAAAAAATTGATTCGTATGCTACGAAATTCAAACGATTATTGCGTAGAGTTGAAACCAGTGGAAAACTTCCGGCCCCATATGTTGTACGTATGTTCCTTGGAGGATTAAATGGAAAAATGGCAACCTTTGTTACCATGACCGCCCCAACAACATTGGATGATGCAATCGCTTGTGCAAAAAAGGTTGAAGCCGGAGAATATTACGGTCAACAGACGGCTCAACAAACACCACAACGAACTACAAGCGATATGGAAACCCTAATAAAGGCAATGAATGAAATGTCTATTAACTATGCAAATATGGTAACATCGGCAACACAACAAAGAAATTAGAATCAAAAAAAAACTTATCAGCCCAATCAAAGGCATCAAAGCAACCAACGTCTACGAAACCCCGACATTGTATGCTTCAACTGCAATAAGAAAGGCCATATTGCACAAAATTGCACCCTCCCTAAAAATAATCAAGCACAAAAATATGAATATAACGAGAATTCTCAACCCAAGAAAGTTAATTATTGTGAAGCGACCGAAGAAATCGACGATAACAACGTATGGGTAGAAGAACTATATAATATGGACCAACCAATTACTGAAAAATGAAGAGGTCGCCCTCCCAAAAATAATGCAGAAAACCAGGAACGTAAAAGAAAGAGGATGGTGTCCCCACCTCCGTTAAATTTTGACGAAACAATGGCTCCGAAAAACGACATCGAAGTACTTCCCTCTGCCCCCAAAAATTTGTGTAAACCTAGGCGAAAAAGGGGACCATCGATTGTTGATAAACTTGAACCATACAATATTGCCAACGATATTTTGGCCATGAAAGTAAATGCTACATTTGGACAACTCCTACAATACCCAAATCAACGCAAGAACGTAGCTAAGGTTATGAGGAGGCCCCCTAATTCTAAAGAAGCAAACCTTGTGGACCCTCAACCAACTCAACGTACCACGGCTGCGAAATGTTATATACAAATTGGTGATGATCCTGTGATTGCCGTATTAGATACAGGCGCAGCCGTTAGCATTATCACAAAAAGGTTGGCCGATCGATTGGGACTTGTAATTGATGAAGAATCAAAGACAGTGGTTGTAACGGCAACAGGAGCAAGAGAACGAACCTTAGGAAAAATATCAAAAGTCAACATCGACATTTCAAACGTAAGAATACCTACAGTCCTACAAGTCTTGGAATCGGTTGACGAAACATTACTGTTAGAAACCTACTGGTTCCAAAAAGCTAGGGCTATGTTGGACTTTGATGAGCAAAAATTAGTCATCAGATATTTGGGAAAAAGGTTTGAAGTACCCATTATGCATATGGATAAAGGAAAGCAAAAAGCACAAATACCGGAAATTGATGAATCAGGTGACCACGATGAAGACGACGCCGATGAATTGTTTGATGAACTTGAGTACGAAAGTGAAGAGCTTGAAGAACTTGAAAGTTTTTCGTCTGATTGTATATCATCCGATGAAGAAAGTATTGTAAAAAAACAAAAGGATACAAAAATAGTTGAAATTGAAAGCCCGGCTGTATGTTTGGCGGTGATGGAAGAAATTCTAACCGATAAGAAAGTACCCACTGATGAAAAACCAACAATAGAAGAACAATTAAATAAGATCATTGACGATACAAATATTGAAGAAAAATATAAAGAGAGTGTAAAAGAGTTATTTAAAAACAATAAGAACTTATTTGCAAATGGACTAGAAGAACTTGGACGAACAAACCTCGTGAAACACGTGATCAAGACCCAAGATGCCGAACCCATCAAACAACCGCCGTATCGATTGGCCCCAAACGAACAAGACTTTGTGCGTAAAGAATTGGAGAAGCTAAAAGAAAAAGGCTTAATTAAGGAATCGTTCAGTCCATGGGCATCACCTATAGTGTTGGTGCCAAAAAAAAACAGAAACTTGAGAATGTGCGTCGATTATAGGCGTTTGAACAAAGTTACAAAAAAAGATGCATACCCCATCCCACACATCGACGATCTTTTGGAAGCTTTCGGCGGTGCTCAATGGTTTAGTAGCTTGGACCTTGCCAGTGGTTACTGGCAGGTCCAAATGAACGAAAAAGACTGTGAAAAACGGCGTTTGTTACGAAATATGGAACCTTCGAATTTACGGTCATGCCTTTCGGTCTCTGTAACGCCCCGGCGACGTTTCAGAGACTGATGGATAGAATTCTTGGTCCTTTTGTTGGTAAATTTGTCGCAGTGTATCTCGATGATATCAATATTTACTCTCATACCTTTTCAGAACACATTAACCATTTGAATTTAGTATTTCAACAGATAAACAATGCAGGTCTTAAGTTAAACTTAGAAAAGTGCCAATTTTTTTTACAAAACCTACATTTTTTAGGCCACATAGTTGGCAAAGATGGAATTCAACCAGACAAGGCTAAAGTGGACAAAGTGCAAAATTTCCCGGTGCCCCACAACATATGACAATTACGCGGTTTTTTGGGTTTATCATCATATTACCGCAAATTTATTAAAAATTTTGCAACAATTGCAAAACCCCTGCATCAATTACTTCAAAAAGACGAACAATACAACTGGACTAACAATCAGCAACAATCTTTTGACACTCTCAAACGACACTTAATTTCAGCCCCAATCCTACGATATCTGGATTTCGAACGACGATTTTTTCTGCACACCGATGCCTCGGGAGTAGGCTTAGGTGCCGTTTTGGCCCAAGTCGGTGACGATCGTAAAGAATACGTTGTCGCTTACGCATCAAGAAGTCTTACAAGGCCAGAACGTAACTATTCTACGATGGAACAAGAGTGTCTTGCCGTTATCTGGGCAATCGAACATTTCCACCACTATCTTGGCTATAGACCATTTACTGTTGTAACTGACCATTCAGCGTTGAAGTGGTTGGAAACTTCGAAACTGAAAGGCCGCCGTGCTCGCTGGATCCTCCGTTTACAACCATATAATTACAGCATTGAACACTGCCCCGGGCGAAAACACTCTAACGCAGACGCTCTTTCTCGTATTTAAAAAAAAAAAAAAAAAAAAAAAAAAAACGTAGAAAGAAAACAACACAAGAAAAGAAAAATCCGGACCCAATACAGCCCAAGTAACTGGTGTCCTGGCACCCACGAAGAAATAATAACAATTAAAAAAAAAAAGAAGAGAAAACAGCAGAATTTTTAACGTATAACACTTGGACATTTTTTTTTTTAGCACCAGACTATTTTTTTTATTCATACTACAAATTTTTCGAAAGCAACATTCTTAGCTCTACTATTAACTTAGTGGCCCCAAAGTTCCTTTTAGAATTCCCTAGCAATATTACTTGAATAGAGTGTTGAATTATTGTCACTCATATTATTATTATTAAAAAAAAAAAAAAAAAAAAAAAAAAGAGAAATATGGACTCAACACATTACCATCAATTACGGCACTACATATTGAATCAACAACTACCATCGAGCATGGATAAGCAAGAACAACGACGCATAATTTCGAAGTCTAAGTTTTTTAAAGTGAAAGAAAATATATTATACCGAAAAGACCGATAACTGGTTAAAAGTCGTACAGACATTTGAAATCGAACCAATATTGTTTTTAGCACACAATCATCCGACTGGAGGACACATGGGTCAAGCTGCAATGTTTGAAAAAATTAGAAGATATTATTTTTGGCCTCAAATGTTCGAAAGCATCAAAGAATATGTACGTACGTGCGATTCATGCCAACGTCGAGGGAAAAACAAGCTCCAAGAACCGCTCCACCCTATTCAAGTGGACTCACTATTCTTTCGAATTGGCATCGACATCGTAGGGCCCTTGCCCATAACACCTCGGAAGAAAAGATATATAGTCGTGGCCACTGACTATATGTCGAAGTGGCCCGAAGCAAGAGCACTCGAAAAAGACAATGCAGAATTCATATACGAAGAAATAATCTGTAGGCATGGCTGCCCACAATACATAGCATCGGACCGTGTCACACATTTTAGAAACGAACTTATTACAGCACTATTAAAGAAATTCCAAGTCAAACACAAACTGTCGACCCCCTATCATCCCCAAAGCAACGGCCTTGTTGAACGATACAATAAAACATTATGTGAATCATTAGCAAAAACAATACAACATGTTGTCGATTGGGATCAATTTATTCAGCCAATATTATTTTCATACCGTACAGCAAAACAAAGTTCAACAAGAATGACCCCGTTCTTTCTAGTATATGGAAGGGAGGCCCGTTTGCCCCTGCACCCCAGTAATACCCCTGATATTTTAAATGGAACCATTATTCAGAGAACATTTAATTTGTTAAACAAAGTACCCGATCAACGAAATAAGGCAGTGAAACAAGTACGATCAACACAAGTAAAACAAAAAGAACAATACGATCGACACATTACACCTGCGTTTCAAATAGGCGAAAAGGTTTTATTATTCGATGCGGCTCACCAGATGTCCCGTAGCCACAAACTAAACCCAAAATGGAAAGGTTCATTTTTCATACATAATGTTTTAATTAATGGGTCTTATAAATTACGAACGTTGGATGGGAAAGTTCTTAAGTCTCCCACCAACAAAGCCCAGCTAAAAAGATACCTGAAAGCCCAACGAAAGAAGTAGTCTAAGAGACGACGAAACGTAGAAGGTGTTTGGAAGAAAGAAGGAGGTTTAGAATAAGGAGAGGAGAGAATAAGAAAAAGATAACGAAAAGGGAAATTAAAGACAAATTTTTTCTTTTATATTAAAAAAAAAAAAAAAAAAAAAAAAAAAAGAACCTTAAAATTCAACAATGAAGATGACGCATACGATCGATGAAGTAATCAATGACTTATTAGCAGCAACTCCACGTGAGGTTCTGATCACGCCCCCGCCCTATAACGAAAGGCAAACTTTGAACGAAAAGGTTGACATAACCTACCGACATATGCTAAGGAACCAAAAGTTCAAAAATAGAATTGGAAGCTTAATCTACGGCTTCTATCTGGGGAAGTTATTAGATGAAGCAAGTCCGAAAGAACAGACCGAATATCGAAAGAAGGTTACAAAGCACTATTATACGGCCGCGATCAGAATTTACTGGTTATTCGAAATGTACGGAATTGAACAAGTATACCGAACACAGAAGTTAATTCTATCCGATTTCGCAACTATGAAGGCAGCAGACTTCCGAAGCTTATTTTAGTTCATGGAACGAACAAACTAAGTGGAGGAAAATGTAACAATTAAGAATGGATCAACGATGCATTAGGCGCAAATGGTGGATCGATTGCATAATTATTTACATTGCATAATTAGTCTATATAGCAGATTTGGCGAAAATAGCATATCAAGTAGATTTAGCATAAATAGCAGATTTGACCGAAATAGCATAACTAGCACATATAGCATATATAGAATAGTTAGTATAATTAGCGAATATAGCATATTATGTAGATATGTAATTAGTATATAAGTGTGAGCATTTATTAAGTTGTAAGGTGTCTCACAAACATCATAATTAATAAACTATCTATTTGGCTCCGCCAAATCGAACGTCCTCTTTCGAGACATTACAGTATTCTCGTTGAACGTTACGCAAACCCTTTTCCGGTTTACCCTAACGAGTAGGGATTTTAAGGCGTGCGTTTTTCCCGCTTAACACCAGTAAGTAAGTTCATTATCACGATAGAAAAAAAAGTTTGAAGCCATCTTTTTTCGTCACAGACGCCAACAAAATTACAGTAGGAATCACTTCAATTAATTATAGTACTTATGAATGATCTCTATAGCTATCTATTTACATTGCATTGAGAGTACCCTTAGTCTAAGTTTAGTAATTGTTCATTGGTATAATTAGTCTAAGTATTTAATATAGGCTGTTCACATCTTATTTAGCTACTTAACCACATTAGCCTGTATAATTATCATCTACTAATGGATCCGTACAGTATAAAGTATGAAATACCCTGTTTTTAATATCTTTTCCGGTGTTATGTATTATTAAGATTAACATTGGAAAATTGTAGCAGATTGTTATATGTTTTTTAAAGATGTAATTTACACACTAAGCTATATATATCTAAAAATCTTTTGAAGCTTTTTGTTTGTTTAAATTATAGTATCTCATATCAATATATATAGGTTAAATTAATGAATATCAGGTGCAGTGTTTAAAATTGCCTTGCACAAGGTGTACATGTGCAAGTAGTTTTTTTGTACAAGAGAAGTTCTAAGTGTATATACACAAGTGAGTAATTAAATTTGATAAGGAGTTTGCGCAGAAAATGACGTGAAAGAGAAATTATAAAATTTTGTCGCACTAAAATTTAGTATAAATATAAAATTTGGGATAGGCTAAGGTATTCGAAAGAAAAATGAATAAGAGTAAAATACTAGCAAGGTTGAGCTAAATTTTTAAGATATACATAGTAAATTTATAACGTTGGTCACTTAAAGACAATAAATAAGTGCATATAAAAATAAAATTTATATGCATATGTGTGCAACTAGTAGTTGGTTTGTGCAATTAAAACTTATGACACAACTGCATTTGTGCATGTAAGTTTTGATCTGAATATTAAACACTGATCAGGTTCATACCGGGAGCAGGTTTTAAAATCGGCTTGCGCAAGATGCACATGTGCAAGTAGTTTTTTTTTGTGCAAGAGAAGTTTTAAATGTATATACACAAGTGTGCAATTAAATTTGAAAAAGAAGCTTGCGCTAAAAATGATGTACAAGAGAAATTATACAATTCTATTGCACTAAAATTTAGTCTAAATATAAAATTTAAGATAGGCTAAAGATATTGCAAAAAGTTCTAAAAGGAAATGAATCAACATAAAATACGAGCAAGATCGAGCATAAATTTGAGAAAATATCTAAAATATTCTGAAAAAATTAAACAAAAATAATAAATATATTTGTTATAGTAATTTTATAATATTGGTTCACTTAGAGACAATAAATAAGTGATATAAAAATAAATTTTATATTCACATAAGTGCAACTAGTAGTTGGTTTGTGCAATTAAAATCTATAACACAACTGTATTTATGCATGTAAGTTTCGATCTGAATTTTAAACCCTGACCGGGAGACAGTTTCCTGATATGTACCGTTAGTCTGCCATAGATCCGCCAAATACTTGCTGAATATCAGCAGTATCAACACATTTGTAAGATATCAGGAGGTAGAAAAATATTGGTAATATAACAGCACAATATTGGTATATCCTACTCTTAATGCTCTGGATCTAAAAGTAAGATACCTGGGTATCCCAATATTTTGCTGTTGTGTTGCTGATATCGATCTACTTCCTCGATATCCCACAAATATGCTGCTGATATTCAGCAGACTAACAGAGAAACTTTCTCCCAGTATGCACCCAATATTTATTTATCTGAATACAAAAACTATAACTTATATAACCATTCAGTATTGGAGTTGTTGTTTGTTCCTTATTTAGTGCGACAATGTCACACAGCTACTTATTATTATTATTATTATTAACATACTGTAATTGTTCATGATGTGGATATAATGGCATTTTCTTTCCTGGGTATTGTGAGGAATTTTTTCTGTTGATCCCTGCACGAAAGTGACACAACAACCAAGATGAAGCGATCAAAGAAAAACACGTTATATACCAGGAACAGAGTGCATGGTTAAGCAGCATATGAAGTGTTTCTGTACAAATCTGTGCTTTTGATTGGATATCTCTTTTTTATCTGTCATATGATTACTTCTTTTTGTAAACCTGTTTTATATAAAAGGGTTTTTTTTATATATATATAAGAGCCGTCAAGATAAATCTGTCATTGGACTTTATGTTTTATGTGCAATTAGCCGTCTATAGAAAATCTTAGATTTTTCGTCATAAATGGTTAACTGTATATAGAATATAATTAAAAGTCCAATGACATGTTTCTCTTGGTGGCACTCATACATTTATAGATATTACTGAGTGATGTCATAAGCCTCTATGATTAGAAATTGCGTATAGCGATCGATATGGCTTTTCCACCTATATGTGGGTCAGGTTTTTCCTAATTTACTCATGGGCTTTTCCAATTATATCTATATGTAGATCGATTTTTTTTAATTTGAGCATGAGATTTCTCTACCTGTATTAGCAGGTTATGTCTAAATTTTTGTTTATCAGGTATGCACATGTATATTACATACTAGTACGTACGAATGCTGATTTATATATATTTATTTTGAGTGATTTCTTGTACTTTCTCTATTTTAGTATTGTTTATAATGAGTTACTTGTTATTTTTGTTCATCCTCATTTTTAAGAACACTAATAATCATTTGATTAATAACAGTACGTTTTACTTGTACTGTACATTTTACTTAATATAGATTATAATTCGTTATGTGAATGATATAAATCTGAAATTAGTAAATCATATCAGCAACTTGATCAAATAGTCAGACGGAAACTAAATTTATTGAAAATAATACACTCATACTGATTTTTTAATATACGGATATTATATTCGTTACTTTTAATGAATATAGCATTTAAAAAAATAATTTGTCTAAGTTCATAATAAACATATAAGTCTGACTTTAT